CTGCAAAACTTCTAGAGAGGAAGAACAGTGGCAGAAATTTCTCCCTCTCCCTCTTACTCTCTTACACATACGCACACAGACACAGACACACACAGCTGTTAAGGTTAGTTTCACAGTGGCAATGGGACCCTGCTCTGTGAAACGGCTCTGCTCTCCTTGAAATTTCATCCAGATCTGTCGATGACTTCTTTTTCTTTTCTTCTTCTTCCTTTTTTTTTGTTTTTGAGGGGGTGGGGGGAAGGGTGACTCATATAACTTTCCCGGAAGAGAAAAGCTGCTTTTCTGAAACGTATCGCAAAGGCCTTTCCCTATCACCGAACAAGGCATAAATCATCTCTTCTCTAACACTAGATACTGGTAAAGTGACAGACAACTAGACAGACGCTGCAAGGGAAACCAGCCCAAAGGTCTCAAATTATAGCTTCGCGTCCACACGGAATCTGCTCCGATGGAGCAGAGACCGGCGGCAGAAACTTAACAACTAGTTGACAGATTTTAACTAAGCAAGTACTGTGTTAGCCGTGCTTTCCACTACTGTGGAAACAAAAAAGACACATTACGGGGAAGCCACGCAAGCTCTGCAGAGCCTTAGGCAAACACGTTTGCCAGTCATTTTTCTCTCTATTGTTATTATAATTATCATCATCATCGTGCGGTTACTACGGCTACAATGAGCTGCAGCGCCAGAAAAAACACACAGCGATTCATCCCTCCCTCCGGATGCAGAATAAAGAGGGACTTCGGTGCCTGACTCCGGGAGCACGTCCCAGCTCTCCCCCAGCACCCCCTTCTGAGACAATCCTACGTATATCGCATTCCGGTTTAAACGCACAATGAAAAAGTGTCGGGAAATCTTACCAAATCTTAGTACATGTGTGGTTCCTTGAGAATATCCAATCCACAGTAAGCAAAGAAGGAGTCTAATGTTGCATCTGAAGACTGGATTAGTTAGAATAGAGGAAATAATCTTCATGATGTTTCTATGCACACACGCGCTGCCTTACTTCCCCCTTCTAAGCCGTCAGGTTTCCCGGTAGGGTAAGAATGAGGATACGTAAACTGCTGGCCCTCAGACACGATCACGGCATGGTCACAGAGAGAGGAGAGAGTCTACGTTTCCCAAACCCATTAGCAATCCCTGCATGTTCTTCATTCACTGCGCCAAGGAGCAACCTTCAACTGCAAGGAATGGTGGGACATCCATGTTAGTCGGGGGAGAATCCTTGAGCAATCCAAACACACACAATGTCCAGCCGAGTAAACCTGGGAGGCAAGAAAGGAGGAAAATCAATAGGTAATCCAGCTCGAGAAATCGCTGAGGTACCGCCACATAGCGAGAGTCAATGAGCACCAGCCGCTTTACTGGCGAAGCTTTTGCCGTGCTCCCATTCTACTGCACTGCTGCACAGCTTCTGACGCGAAGCCAAGATTAAGTGAGAGAAATTGAGATAGCTCTTCTCCTCTTAAGGCTGCCTGCCAGACAGCCTTCCCAATTTCTATTATGCAACTGATCTGATCGCCTAGCGTTGTCGGAGGAAAAAACAGCTCGGATTTATTTACATGTTTCTAATTGTTATTAGTATTTCGGTTGCTCTGAACAATAGCTATTTTCTGCAAAGAGTCTGCGGCGGGGGATAGTGGGGGGGGGGGCTGAAGGGGAGAAGAGAAGCCGTTGTATAAAAATCAATTCATGCGTTTGAATAGCTAGCTGGCTGGGTCGAAATCACTTAGCTTTGGAGTTGTGAAAGAGAAGGCTGACGAAAAAGTCACGCAGGTTATCAGAGTAAGGTTTAGGCTAAAAAAGGTCATGATATTTACACTCAGTAACTGTTGCTTACTCGCATTAATGCATGAAGTAGCATAAATACCCTGGCTTGTATCCTGACTGTCCTTAGGAAGTTGCTCGGGACCCAATGGTTACGGAACACCAACCAGCTTTTGCGAAGTAAACAGGAATCGGCAGTGCTACAACAGCCCTGAGCTGAATGCACAGACCTATACTTCAGTTTCGCTCAACTTACTTGAAATTGTAGTGTTGTTTAAAAGGCAGGGTAACTTGTGGATTTACCAGTTCATATTTTGCCCTCTATTCTGCTTTTTTTTTTCATATTCAGCTTACATTTCAGTCTAGTATTATGGATAAGTGCTACTGTTCCTGCACTGAAACCTCTATGCAGTTTATCATTTTGCATTCCACTATGAGAACAATAGCACTTCCTAGTTTGCTAATGGGATACTGAATTTGTATCTGCAAATGCATCCAAGTACTTCTGTCTTTTGGCCAGGTATTCCAAAGACAATCTCACTTTGTGGACTAGCTCAGATTTTCCTGGGAAATACAATTATTTCTGCTTCTATATCCATTAAAATACATTGATCCAGGACTGCCAGAGACTTTTACAGTCTGAGTGTAGCTTTTACTGAACGTACTTAAGCTTTATTTCCAATATTAGAAGATAATTCCTAGCTCCCCACAAGGAAAATTGATCCAATGTATTCTGTATCTGCCTACAGACGTCTTTTGTCTCCTTTTCCTGCCTCCCCACCTTTTATTGTCAAAGAAAATATCACTGAGAGACTCCCCCCCACACACACACACATGAACACAGAGTAAACATGACTTTATAGAAGTAAATACCAAAGATTCCGAGTTAATGAGAACACTCTATGGGTTCTAACAGAGCATGGCAAAGGTGAGTTACAATTAATTCTTAAATAATATATGTGTATTGTGGACAGGCAAAATGAGTAATAGCAGCATTTAAATTATTACCTATAATCTTGGTGCTCTGTACCTCTAAAAGTGTTAGCAATTCACAACAACTTTTTATCATTATGGCTTACTGATTTCCTCTGCACGTATTTACTTAAAACACTGTAAAATGCTGATGAAAAGGAATGTACATACTGTGAAGGGATTATTAAACATCATTGATTTTTTTTTCTTTAAGATGGAGGCATAACTGCAGTGTCAAAAATAAGTATCATGAATGGCTAGTTCTGCAGTCTAGCAGGGAATTCAATCAGACGGTTTGACTATTGGAGCACTTTAGAAAGAACACCTAGCGTTAAAAGCAAGGATATCTAGCGACTCCTTCAGTTCACACTTAGAATATATCCTAGCAAAATTGTTCAGACTGAGACACTCTT